CTTAAATTTCAGAGGAACAACGAATGATTCTTTTTGGTATAAGCATGTTCTGGGCAATATTTGGAACATATATACAAAAAAAGGAAAAGATTCATTGCTTATCTGAAATTTAAATTTAACTGGGTTTTCTGCATTTTGCATGGCAAACCTACTCTTCTATCCTTCACCAGATACAGTCCTACTCCAGAGCCAGGCTAAGATGATTTAAATCCTGCGTCTGAAGAATGGCCGAGTGATCTTAGCTCCCACAATTGGGGACTGAAACCATCTCAAAGGTAGGTGTGAGGATAAAAGAAGTCAAAGGTGTACAACACTAAGTAACTCATGTGTAAATGTTATTTATCCTTAAAGGGCTCACACTTCCCAACACCTAGGGGTTTACCATAGAAGCTGGTGCACACTCCCAATTCTAGAAACTGATGGAGCTCCAGATGCTGAGACCAATCTACCCACAGGCAAGGGTAACAGGAGAGAGGGGAGGGGTTAGGGACAGCAGAATCAATCTGGACCTGACTCCACTGATTCTGGGGATGGGGTGCAAGCAGAATTGAGTGGGCATGAGAGAGCTAGCATGGCTGCTGAGAGCACAGACCTGACCTGAACCCTCAGAGCCCCTGGGTCTGACTTTCCCTAGAACATTAGCTCTGCTCATCCAATCTTCCTGGAGGATGTTCCAGAAAATACCACCCCTATTTAGGAGTATCCACGAGGGACTCTTTGGACAGAAGATCTGGCTTGCTGGATGTGCACACTTACCTAGGGTAAGCCTTGGCTGCATCTGTGCCCCACGGCAAGCCAGGACCCTGCAATAGAGCCCTGCATTGGTGAGCCCTGATTCAGCTTCCCTAGGGTCCTTCCCTCCAGGAGGAAATCAGGCTCTTGGAACTGACCCCTGAGACCAATCTGGGATCCAGTTGAGGAAAACATAGCCAGCCTAAGTATAGCCCCAGCCCTGGGTACAGGTTTCCGAGAGGCTCTAGATTTCTGCCATGAAAGTGTCTTACACCCCTATGCACACTCCCATGGTGTTCCAGAATCCAGAGATGGTAGTCCAGAGAGTTGTGCCTTTGCCCCTGGCCAGATTTACCATGTTGGTCAAGGCCTTCCACCATTCTGAGCTTTGGGTTTCTTGTCTTCAAAGCTGAGATATTAGGGCTTATTTTATGAGTTCTGTCTTTGGGAGAACAAAATGTAACAAATTCAGAGAAAGTAAGCTGAAGTCCTATCTTCCTGAGGGCCTTCTCTGAGCCAAGCAGTTGCAAACTTAATAAATCCCAACACCAACCTTGAGAGTTAGTATACCTATTCCACAGATGACAGCAACTAGCTCTGAGGATTTGTCTTTTTCCCAGAGCCTCCTAGTGCCCAGGGTAGGATACCTACTTTTGAATCCTAATGTGAGGTGTCAAAAGTAGGAGAGTAGAGGTATGTAGGTAGGGTACAGCACAGACAGTCATCCCTGGTATCCTTCTCAGCAGAGAGTCTGCTTCTTTCTCTCCCTCTGCCCTGTTTGTGCTCTCTCTGTCTGTCTCTCTCTCTCCCTAATAAATAAATAAATTCTATTTTAAAAAATTAAATTATATTAAATATTTTTAAAAATGAGATCAATCCTGAGTAATATATGAAATGTCTGCTTTAATGTGATAGTTATACTTTTTTTTATTATTTTTAAAAACAAATATATAAATCTGTATGTTTTAGAAACAATGCTTTCAGAATACCACCTAAAGTCATCCTGTGGGTTACAAGCTGGATAACAATGATTTGGTGCAAACCTTTAACCTTTACTAAGGTCCTTCCCTGAAAGGCCATCGAATTGTGAGGGAACGAACAACTGAGGCCGAGGGGCAGGGGGCCACAGGCAGGCACCTCAACTGGGCACTTGAGGTCTAGAACTCATAAAGCGAAATCAATTCTTGGAGATGCACCTCCACAGCCAGACCCCTGCCTGCCTCTTACCTTAAACTCCACATGACTGTGGTGTTTCTGAAGAGCAGTGACTCTGCATGATAAGCCAGGAGACACATGGAAGATCTCACACAGAGGGGCACCTTGCTTTGGGTGTTGACGAGGAACTGAGTTTCCCAGCACAGAAAGAAAGGTGGAGCCTTGTCAGTAGAGGTAGTGGCAAAAGCAGAGGACAGGGGAGAAAGGGTGGTGAGGTCTGTTGTCCTGAATTTGGAAGGCCCCCCCATGGCTGAACACAAGAGCTCAGGATAAAAGGCACAGTCTAGTCTAACAGCCTCTGGCCCCTAGAGAGTTGGTCAGAACAGTTTTAAATTCAAATAGCTTGGGATCCCTGGGTGGCGCAGCGGTTTGGCGCCTGCCTTTGGCCCAGGGCGCGATCCTGGAGACCCGGGATCGAATCCCACATCGGGCTCCCGGTGCATGGAGCCTGCTTCTCCCTCTGCCTGTGTCTCTGCCTCTCTCTCTCTCTCTCTCTATCATAAATAAATAAAAAAAAATTAAAAAAAAATTAAAAAAAATTCAAATAGCTTGGGGAGCCTGGGTGGCTCACGGGTTAGTCTGCCTTTGGCTCAGGTCATGATCCTAGGGTCCTGGGATAGACTCCAGCATGGGGCTCTCCACAAGGAGCCTGCTTTTCCATCTGCCTATGTCTCTGCCTCTCTCTGCGTGTCTCTCATGAATAAATAAATAAAATCTTTAAAACAATAAAAAATATATTTTTAAAAAATTCAAATAGCTTGCCAACTGAAAACCTGTGGAGATTTTACCTAAAATGCAGATTGCTGGTATCCCTATTCAAAATCCTAATTCCCTCCCCTTCCGTCTTCTCCCTTTACCCATAGCACCTAAGAACCTTCTATAGATTGTGTTTAATTACTTATGTTTTGTGCCATATCCTCCTCTCCTCCCCCTAGATGTAAACTCTGGTACAGGAGGCTTGGGGTTTTCTTTTTCTTTTTCTTCCTTTACTAAAGTACTTCACTTAGCCAGTGTCTGTCACTTAGTGGGTGCTCAATAAGTATTTTAATAAATTAATAGAGGAATCAGGGGACTCCGATGTGTCCCATACTAATGTCTATCCTGGGGTGGCAGGATACAGCCAGGCAGGAGGCCTCGGTTCTCATTTGCCCCAGCCCACGCGGGCACCTCCAGGCACTCCCTGAGCTGCGTGAACAGAACCCGATTTGAGGCAAAGAAGCAGCAAGCAAGAGACTGGCATTTGCTTTAGCGGGATTTGCAGGCAGGTTCCTGCAAGAGTGTAGGTTCCAGGCTCCAAGTCATGCCAACTGCTTCTCGATTTCCCGCGGAGCACCGCGGCTTCCCTGGGCTGCGCACAGCCTGGGTGCACCCAGCCCCCGGGCGCGGCGGGAAAGCGGGGGAAGGACGCCCGGGGCGTGGGAGACTTGGCCAGCAGAGGGCGCGCGCGCTCAGTCGGCCCGCGCGTTCCCGGCGGCGGCGGGCTCCGGCCAGTCGCTAGTTTCGGGATCACGCCTCGCTCTGCTGAGAAGACGCGGGCTGAGCAGCGCCTGAGGACTGTCTCCCCCCCGCCCCCATGGCTACTCCGTTCAAGGAAGGGACCAAGCCCGTGCGTTTCCCGGCTCTACGCCCAGTGCCCAGAAGTCCGCCTGGCCCGGAGTGCACAGTGCATCTAATTGAGCGTGAAAGCAGTTTTGGAAAAAAGGCACGAAGGACACCCATCGTCGCGACCTGAGTCCCGGAGTTCCAGCAGCTTCCTGCTGACTGCCCCCTCCTGTGGGCCCTGACTGCAGCTGCTGAGCCCAGGCCCCGCGCCCCGCCCCCCTCCCCCCCATTCCCCCTGTGGCCGGGACTTCCCAGGTACAGGCCTGTCCCCACCGCGTGCTCCTTGGATGGGGCGGGGGATAGAATCTACTCCACTGTCCCGCTATGCCGTTAAGGGCAGGAGGAGGTGGCAAGGGAATCCTGTGGTCACCAGTGAGGTCCCCAAGCGTGCTCCTCCCGGGCCGCCTGCCTGCGTCCCTCTCTACTAGGCTGGGGCTGTCTCGGGGTGTCCAGGTTCAGGCACGTCCTGCCAAGAGTTCAGACTCGTTTCCTGCACCAGAAAGGCTGACGCTGGGGGTACTGTCCTGGGCTAAGACGGAGAGGGGACGGGGGGGGGGGTCTCTCAACAGTCTGGGTCGCACAGGGCATCCACTGGGAGAGGGAGCATATGCGGAAATTTAGACAATTATTGTAGCTTCCATTTATCGAGCACCGACCGACCCTGTGCCAGACCCAGTGGCGAGCACGTGGCGAAGGAGAGAGTCTCGACCATTCCCCCGGGTACTCCTCGGCGGGATGGCAGCTGCGGTCAGCCCATTTCCCAGGTGAGAGAGCCGAGGTACAGCGAGCCAAGTACATTCGCGTTTACTTAGGATTCGCGTTACGTTTACGGAGCAGCGGAGCGGACTGATCTTGCTTCCTCTGGCGGGCGCCGTGCTCCGTGCTGGCAGGGTCACAGCCGGGAAACTGAGGCTTGGCCACCGAGCGAAAGCGCTGGCTTGGGGCGGGAGTGCTTCTGCCAACGCTGGTCTCCCCTTGGGCAGAGCTTGCGGGGGAGCTCAGCACAGCGAGCCCGCGCCGGTGGGCACCCCCAGGCTCTAGACTCCCCGAACGGGGCGGGGCGCTCGTAGCTACCTCGGGCCTCGCCGGCGCACGTCGACTTGTCTCCTTATGGTCGCCCGTCATTCAGTCCCCGCCTCTGGGACTCCATCTCTCCACCTGCCAAGTGGGCACAAGGACCAGCCTTTGTCGCAGCCTCACTGCGCGTCGGGCGTCCTGGCTGCGGATGGAGCCTGACGGAGCGGGGCCCCGCGGGGCTGCGGAAGGTCAGAGGCCGGGGCGCCCCGCAGCCGGGGCACCCACGGGAGGAGCGGCCGGGTGGGGGGGGGGCGCGCCCCGGGCCCCAGCAGCCGGCGGGCTGCGCCTCCAGGCCCGCCCCTCGCCGCGCGCCCCGCCCCGCCCCGCCCCGCCCCGCCCCGCTCTCGCCTCTAAAGCGCCCGCCGCCCGCCGCCCGCCGCACTTTCACTCCCCGCCGCCGCGTCCGCTCCGCGCCCGGCCCAGCACGGCCCGTCCCGCCGCCGCCCGCCGCCCGCCGGTGCCATGAATGCCAAGGTCGCCGCCGCGCTGGTCCTCGTGCTGACTGCGCTGTGCCTCAGCCACGGTGAGTGCGCCGGCCCCCGCGCGGTCCCCAGCGAACCCAGTTCGCGCCGCTTAGCGCAGGGGAGGTCGAGGCAGCCCCCTTCGCGGGGCGCGCGCCCTCGGGTGTGGCGCTGAAGCCCGAAGCTCAGCGGCCAGCGCCGCGCCGAGGCCTCGCGCTCCGCAGCTCTCCGCAGCGGGGCTCGGTCCGGGACGGTGCGCGGCCGCCTGCTCGGGGTCGGGCGGGATCCCTGGCCGGGCGCGCGCCCGGGGCTCCGCGGGGCAGAGCGCAGTGGGGAGCCGCTGCTCCCGGGCCCGGCCGGGCCACCCCCCCGCTCCTCCCACCCCCCAGCCCGTGCGCTCCCGCGCGCGGCTCGGTTTCTCGAGGCCCCGCTGCGCCGGGGGCCGGAGCTGCGTGTGCGAGACGGCGCTTGGCGAACCTGCCTGCCTGGCGAACCTGCCTGCCTGGCGAACCTGCCTGGCGCCGCGACGCACGTCTGGTGGCGGTGCGGCCGGGAGCTGCTTCGCGGCGCCCCCCTAAGCGAGGCCGCCCCTACCTCGCACCCACCCCGGCGAGGCTTCGCGGGCGAGCGCAACAGTGCTGTCGGCTTTGCGCCCCCCGCCCGGCCGCGCTTCTGCACAGCTCCGCGGTCCGCCGCGCGCAGCAGACCCGGGCGTGCGTCCAGCCTGCTCCCCGGCCTCTTCCCGGGGTCATCGAAGAGAGGCCCAGGGGCCGCCGGGGTCGCTCCCGCCGGCTCCCCTGCCCCCCAGACACACCTGCAGGCGGGCGCCTTTGTCACCGGCCAAGCCTCAGCTCTTACCTCTGAAGGAGCGCTGCAGAGTTCAGTCGCCGAGGCCTTAGGCCACTGGGAAAGGTGGTGTCCTGTTTCACTGGGAGAGGGAGAGCCCTTTTTTTTTTTTTTTTCTTTTGGAGCTTAAGAGAAATCTCGCTGTCCTGTCACAGGACACCACTGCTGCAAACCAAAATAAACTGTTGACTTTAAATACATAAAACAAGCCATGTTAGTCAGGCCGCGCTGTCCTTTCTTAGCTGCAAAGTTGCCAACAAACCCTGCAAAGGGTTGAAGGACACTGGGAGTGCTCTTGGGGCAGCCACGGTCCATGCAGAGCCTGAGCCCCCACAGTGCTAGGCTGGGTTCCAGCTGCTGACCCTCTGCATCCTCACAGGCAGTGGACAGGGGGCCATTGTGGGTAAGGTGAACGTGCCTGTGTCCGGGTCAGGGAGCACTGCAGGGACTGCCAGGGGCTCACAGCTGGCTGCCTGGAGAGTTCTCTTTAAAAGTGTAGCAGGTTAATGGGTGCCAGGATGGCTGGGTTGGTTGAATGTCAGACTCTTGATCTCAGCTCAGGTCTTTATCTCCAGGTTGTGATTGTGAGTTGGGGGCAGGGGGTGTAGTAAGTTGCTGGGCAGAGGTGCAGAGGGACTGGATGGAAGGCAATTTAGATTCCACCACCTAGCCTAGAGGTATGCTAGGCCGAGTCTCCATACTGACCCCCTAGGTCCTGGGGGACACTCTGGTTTGAGCATTAACAACTGAGTGGTGGGAGTGGAGCTGTCATCCTGCACTTTGCTAGGGAAATGGTGCCGCTCCGGTTCCCTGGGGAGCTGCAGAAAGGAGGGGAATGCAGGGACCCACCCTGGTCCTTGAGCCCTAGGCATAGCTGACCTGGAAGGAGCACAGAGGGAGTGGGGGGTGGGGTCTCATTAACCGACTCATCCTGACCCTGAAAAGGGTTGGTTGCTTGCCTCTCTGAGTTGCTCTTTTGGTAGCCACATGGCCAGGACAGGGTCCTGGGCTCAAGGCTGGTCTGCGTCCCCTTGCATTCGTAGGCCGGAATATACTTCTTTGCCCTTCTTGAGCCTGGGTGCCCATACTGAGTTCCAAAGCTACACCTGGAGACCCCCCTTGGTCAGGGGCTGGTGCAGGCGCAGGCTTCTGTCCTTCCACTGGCTGACCTCAGACAAGCAGCTGGGCCCCTGTATGCCCTGGGTATTCAGGGGTGGTGAAATCCAGGCTGGGCTTTGTTCTGAGGCCTGGTTGGAGAGGCAGGCCAGGACTCCCTTTTCTGCATTAGAGTGGAAGGTTCTCTCAGAACTGCTCTTGAACAAAGGCAGGTTCATCAGGTCCCAAGCCCTGGTAAACATCTAGACCAACCAGGTGCCTTGCCTATACAGAGTCACATCCAAACCAGTTGGAAAAGTTAGTGATATTGACAAAATATTATAAATAATATAATATAATATAAATATATTATAAATAATATAAATAAAGCTGGAGGAGAGGACACCAGGTAGACATAGCACTGTATTCTCTAGGTAAGAGCCCTGGGTGCTCTGTCACTTTAAAAGAACCTGTGGAAATTCCCCCACTTGACAGTCAGGCAACTAACTGAGTCCTGGGAGCAGGAATAAGAATTGCCTTTGAAGGAAATGGATAATTCCCAAGGGGTGGGGTGGGGAAGAAGAGAAGAGAAAAAAAACCTGTATTTTGAGCTCAGAATCAGCTCTGATTTCTGGCCTGATCTCCACCAGTGGAGCCAGAACAGCTTCCCTGACAGAGGAGAACAGCCTCCCCAGCCGGCCAAAGCATTTCACACTGTGTTCCTTTCATGTGCTGCTGCACTGGGGTTGGGACCCTTTATGTCACCACCCAACAACCCCAGTTCTCCAGTCCCTGCTCAGCTCAGGAGGATCCAGGAGAATTCCAGGGAGACCAGAGGCAGGACACTCAGAGGGGAGGCTTTACCCAGACCCCCTCGCCCCCAGCCCTGGGGTCACTTTCCCAGGCGATCTGGTTACAGGGCAGTATGGGCAGTACAGTAGGAACCGCCGCAGCGGGGAACTGGGTGCCATTGCTGAAGGCCAGGCCCCAGCAGAGACTTTCTGGAGTCAGTTCAGGTATACAAGTGAAGGCTGCTGTAGCTGCTCTGCAGTATCCTGAGTGTGAGCACCCTGAAGCCAGGCTTTTCTCCTTACTGATTTTTAGGGAATCAAGTTTGATCCCAGGGGGCTGGGCAGCCTGCTTTTTCCCTGACTTGGTGGCTAAATAGGCTGGTCTTTACAGGCCCTGCCATCTCTCAACTCAATGCAGCCTGTAGAAAAATTAAGAAATCCCTCACTCACAAGGTTTCATGTAGCTTCCCTAGCTCTCTTGCCCCAAAGTGCAGGACTTCAGGACCAGCAGGAGGCTCTTGGGAGCTCTGTAAACAGGCAAACTTTTTTTTTAAGTCTCTGGACTAAATATTCTCAAATATAGATTTAATCCCTGATGAAAGGATCCACAAATTCAAATAATTTGGGGTATTAAGTAGGGCTTGGATAAAATCTGCAGAAAAGAAAAAAAAAAAAAAACACGAATATCCCAGCCCCCCAAGGCTTGCAATTCTAGACTTAAATGGTGAGTGGTGGTCCGCAGGAGCCCTTTGCTTATTTAAACTAATGAGTGTCAATTATGGCATTTTGCAAATTGGTGGATTGGCAAACAAGGAGGTAATATAACCCAGGAGGCTGCAGCGTCTCTGCACAATGAAAGCCACATTTGACCCCAGCCCTGATAATCTCCCTGCCTTCAGGGGAGTGCTGCGGAGAATGTGGGCCCTTGCCCTGTCCTCTGGGGACTCCCAGGTAGGAAACCTGCCAATGGGATTCTTTTGTGGTTGCCCGGGTTTAAGGTGAGTGTGAGGAGAAGGTGGGGAGGGCAGCACTCCCAAGGGAACTGTGGTAGCTCCTGGGACCAGAGAGAGCCTGGAGGCTCCTGCTTCCCCCTCCTCCTTCCCTGAGTGAGGAGAGCTTTCTTCGTTGGCTCTGGAGGAGTTTATTTTGCAGAGAGTAACTGGGAACCCCAGTACCTTGGACTGAAACACTTCTGTCCTGGAATTAATACATGTTATCCTAAGACACCTGAGCAGGGGCTGCTTGACCCATACACACACGTATCCCCAGGGTTTGGCAGGATCATAACAAACTGCACTGCTGTCACTACCTCTTCTAGGCAAACCAGTCAGCCTGAGCTACAGATGTCCCTGCCGATTCTTCGAGAGCCACATTGCCAGAGCCAATGTCAAGCATCTCAAAATCCTCAACACTCCGAACTGTGCCCTTCAGATCGTGTAAGTCTGAACATCATCCTCCAGGAGGGTTGCATCCCGTGGGTGTAGTAGCACCTAACTCAAAACTTGTAAAAGCTGGAGAACCCACACATGCAGAGCAGCTAGCCTGGAACTTGGCAAAATTAGCGGCATCTCTGATTACCAGGAGGCCTTTGAGGATTCCACCAGGCAGGAGTTTCAGTAGCCAAGCTTACCCTTGGCACCCTGCTGTGGTCCTCCTGGTTCTTGCCTCTTTTTTTTTTTTTCCAAATTTCCTCCTTTAGCACAGGAGACGGCAGTACAGTGGGATGCCTCCAGACCAGAGAAACCAGGAGTTTCTTTTGCTGAAATCCAGTAAATAAGCCGCCCTCTGCTAGTCACAGTGGTCTGTCCTGCCAGTTTCTAGGCTTTGGTGTTCTAAATTCATCCTTTATCACGTAGCAAAATCTCACAAGACCCCAATTCAGTTTAATTTGTCTTCAACCTTTGGTCAAAACTCAAAATTTTCAGCTCATTTAACTGTTTTCTCAAACACAACACACGTTTTTTCTGATATTGATGGGAACTGCTGATATTTGATGTCACTCATATGGGAAACGAGACACACAAGAATTACACCTATATAACACATAAAAACCTCTCTCTGGGGTTGTCGGAGGCTGGGCGAGGTTCAGGAAGAGACCTTCATGTGGCTGTTCATTGCTTGGCCCTCGTGTGCTAGAGTGCACCCCTGCTCACACACAGTGAGTGTGCTCAAGTGTCCAGATGCAGGGGTGCAGAGTCTCTGGTCTCTTGTGAGGGAGCTCACCTCCTGTAAAGTCCCAGTGCTGAGAATGGGGTGGAGACCCAGAAGTTGAAATGAAAGCCGCCCCCTCCCGAAGCCTTTGCCACCTAATACCAATGGTTTTTAAGTTTGATTTTGTCTTTTTTTTTGGCTAGCCTTTGCTGCCTTGAATGTGTTTGTCATTTACAGTATGTTTTAGGCCACTAGAAGGTGAATGTGTTTTCACTGGCTTTGCTTACAATAAACTGCTCTCTCCTTTGAGAGGTATTATATCAAATACTGAATTTAGTTCCATAGACCTGCTTTGCAGTTCACATTGCACTAGTCCACTTGCTAGGAATGCCCCCTGAAGTTCAAGAAACCAGATAGAATGTGGGGGTGTGGGCAGACGCAGAACCGATAAGCAGTGACAGCCAGATTGAAACCCATTGCTCTGAACCACACTCTTCCTCTGCACCTGTCAGTCATTTACCAGGGAGGCTGCATGATGCCCCTGGGTGTCCCCGGGCCACAATGCTGGCCTTCATTGTCCTTACAGACCTGTGAATGGCTGGGCAGGCTGCTGCTTGAGGTCTTTATGGAGAGGGGCCCAGAGAGAGAAGTCTGGTCTGCCCCCAGGAGTTGTTGGGTGGGGTAGTGTGAGTGTAGCGGAGAAGTGAGAGGAAGGTGCCAAATGAATTTTTAAGAAACAAATGCAACTGTGGAGCATTCAGTGAACTTGTAAAATCTCTCTGAGAACCATTCTCTGGCAAATTACCTACACCAGCCCTCTCTCCACCTGCACTGTCTCTCCCTCACTGCCCTGTCACCCCCCCACTGCACTATCCCTCCCGCACTGACCCATTACCTCTGTTCCCCAGACTGTTGTAATACCTCTTTACAGATCGCCTATTATAGGTTTACTCTTCATTCTCTCTCCCTTGTATTTCAAGATGATTCATCCAAAGAACAAATCTGCCTTTGTCACTCTCCAGCATAAATCCCCATAATCTTGCAGGTGAAGTCCCTCAATCCAGCTCCTACATCTGGCCACCTGCTCCTTGGGCATCCCGTCTTCCTCCACCTCCTTGGTGCTGTTACCCTTCTAATGCCTTTGCTCTTGCATTTCCCTCCCCCTCTATCTCACTCACCCCACTCCTTTGCACCCTTCAGAAGCCAACTCAGAGGTTCTGTGTGGTGCATGCACTCTCCCTGGGCTCCCCCTGCAAAAACACCTTTCCCCTTCCTATATCTGTATAGTGGGACTTGCCCACTGCTAGGGATTTGTCTCCCCAGCTCGCCCCCAAGTTCCTCCTAAACCCCAGCCTGCCAAGCTAGGCACTTGGTGTGGGAGAGGGTCCTGACATGAGTGTGAGATGAGCCAGTGCCCAGATCATGCCCCTGCCTCCTGCCATTCGGCTGCACACCCATAGCCTCTTCTGTTTTGGCAGGGCAAGACTGAAGAACAACAGCAGACAGGTGTGCATTGACCCGAAATTGAAGTGGATCCAGGAATACCTGGAGAAAGCTCTAAACAAGTAAGCACAACAGCCGAAAAAGACTTTCCGCTAGATCCACTTGAGGAAAGCTAACAGCGTATGGCAGATATGGCAGATGGAAAGCGAGGTGCTGGGGAGGTGGGCCTGGATGGGGAGGGCCAGGTACACCTGGGGGGGGTAGCACGCTGACCTGGGATCTCAGCCTTGAGGTTTGCCCAGAATATAGACACCTGCATTTATAGTGTCTGGTACGATCCTGCAGCTTATATTCACCAGTGCCCCAGACCCTTGCACATTGGCTGTTTTAGAACTGGGGTTTTTCTAAGAAATTACATTGTCCCAACAGCATTACCCACTGTCTGCTCTCTCCTGATCATCACAATCCCCATCATTCCCATTATCTTTTTTAAAATCTGTGATTACTTCAAGATCTGTATTTGGTTTGTTTTGGAGCTTTTCTTCCTTGCTCCCGGGGTATCTGGGCACAGTCAGGTGATGGCCAAACATGGAGCTCAGAAAAGTGTCCTTCCTCCAGACTCACAGGCTTGGAGGAAGGCCATGGACAGCTTCTGTGGGGGGTGTCCCTCCTAAAATGACAACCCCAGTGACTCAGATACTGGCCAGCGTTAGGCAGCGGCCACCGCCTCCACCTCCTCTTTCCAGCTGGGTGATTGGTTCTGTAGGCTCCATGTACTACTGTCACTAGGGACTGTGCTCAGAGATCCTTTGCCGGCCATTCCCAGGCCTCTCCCTGCCTCCAATAGCATGCTTTCATCGTGCTTCTGCTTCTCATTTCTGTACATGCTCAGTGGGGAGGAGGGTGATTGCTGGGGCTCTGCCCTGTAGCCTCCTCCTCCCTTTGCCCTCCCCTCCTGTTCAGGCCCTCTGTGAGAATCTTCTCTGGCCTCCTCCAGAATGGGGCTGGCCCTGTCCTGGAGGGTGGGAGATCATGTCTCCACCTTCTGTCGAAAGGCTGGTCTTCGCAGAATCAAATGAAATTTTCAATCTGAGAACTTGTTTGGAGCAATTTGGTTTCTGTGATTGCCTCTGAGGCTTATATAGGCCACAGAGGCTCTACAAACTCTGAGGTCTCTGAAATCAGAAATGAAAAAAAATAAATGAATAAATGAGCATCTTGCCACTAACCCTTCCTCCTGAAACCACAGCAGGGTTTCAGGTTCCAATCAGAAACATTGGCAAGGTGACATTGCCATGCATAAATGTGATCCACAGATGGGCCTGGTGGTATTTGTAACTTTTTGCAAGGCATTTTTTTATATATTTTTTGTGCACATTTTTTTATGTTTCTTTAGAAAAAAAATGTATTTCAGAATATATTTATAGTCGAACAATTCATATATTTGAAGTGGAGCCATATGAATGTCAGTAGGTTACATTTCTCTATTATCTTGAACTACTGGCAATTTGTAGAGAAATATATATGATCTATAAATGTGATTACAGCTTTTTAATGTTAGCCACAGTGTATTTTTTCACTTGTACTAAAATTGTATCAAATGTGACATTATATGCACTAGCAATAAAATGCTAATTGTTTCATGGTATCAAGCTCCTACTGTATGTGGGAATTTATTTACCTGTAGAAAAATTCATCAGCTATTAGACATGGGGCTCAGATACATTTGTGGAGTCGATGAAGGTAATGTGGCCTGCAGGTCAGGTGCCTTAGAACCCTCCTGCTGACTTCACATGTGAGCATGGACCTTGATCAGGAGCCGAATAGAGCTGCCACTCAAGTTTTTATGCCTTTTTTTTTTTTAAACTCAATGGAAACAGCAGTGCTAGTTTTCTGAAGAATAATATTTGACTCACTAATTCCTCTTCCTCTTCCTCCTCTTCCTTGGTTCTCCTAACATCCCCATGTAATCTCCAGAGACTCAACTCTCATAATATCCAGCTTTTACATTTTCCCCATGTAAAAATCCCATAATTCCAGGCCATGGTTAATAGCAAGCTTTCATGGGAACAGGTGGCCTTACCCCATAAATCATTAAATACCATTCAGCTTGAATCATTAAAATGTGACAGTCATGAGCCAGTTGCTGTAATCAAATTCTGCTAACCAGCTCTCTCCCCTGCTCTCCAGAACAATCCCAGTCATTCCCAAGGGTTGTCCCCCGGCATCCAGAAAGGAGAAGGTGGGATGAGGCCTGCTGCCTTTCTCCTCTCCTTGGATGGCCGCCTGAATCTTGAGTCTTTAATCTCCAGAGCACGATTTGATTTGAAATGCAGGTATTTTTTTTTTAGCTAAAGCAGAGTTCAGCTCCGCACTGAGAAGGAAGGAAGCCAGAGGAGATGGGATTGAGGTGAGTTAGAAGGCCAAGTCCAGCCTGGTCCTGGGTGTGCCTTCACACCCTTTCAGATGTGAATGCCGTTCCCGGGCCAGGTTGGCAAAGTGGCCGCAGCTATAACCAGTTCACAGATATTCTGGAAGGCCAGCTAACATTTTTCTTTGAATTGGGGAAAATGTTGGATCTATTTTAATGAAGTACTGATGGACAGTGCTTTCCCCAGGGGCCTCCAGGACTAAGACTGAAGACAGGGTTAAACCGATAGCCAGTCCAGCATTCAATATTGTACAGACTGAAACAGACCCCTGTTTATTTCAACATCATTAATGGTTCTACTAATTTTATCTAAGGGGGCGCAGAGAAGAAAAAATGGGGAAAAAAGAAAAGATAGGAAAAAAGAAGCGACAGAAGAAAAGAAAGGCTGCTCAGAGAAGGAAAAACTAGTTATCTGCCGCTTCGAGATGGACCGCAGTGCCCGCTGCTCTTGTATCTCCCGGCGCTTTGTAAATTTGCTCTAAGCCTCCTCCCCAGCAGACCCCCTGCCTTCTGCGCAGGGGCTCAGACCTCCGAGGAGGAGCAGCGCTCCTGTGGCCACACGGGCTCCTGTCTTTATGTGCATTTTAAGGCCCTTCCTGGTCTGCTAAGTTATGAAGAAAGTAGGTGTGCAGAGACTGGGGTGCAGTCTGGGACAAGGAGACTATGCTCAGGACTCTAGTGTGGCCTGGGGTCGCCAGCACTGCCCCAGGCTGCCGAGCTCCCTGCTGCCCTCCACTCCCTCTCCCAGAGGGCCTGGGACGCTCCAGAGCTCTCACAGCTCCACACACTCAGTCTGCCTTCCTGCTGAGGCCAGGGCCGGCTGTCCGGCCTGCACCGCGCCACTGCTAGCCCGTGGCGGGAGCCTAGGCCCAAAAGGCCTGTGCCTCCTGCCCTTCCCCTGACCACTGCCAGTGCCACACATCACCACCTCTGTGGGGCAGAGCTGGCGATGGACGGGCCTTTTGCAGGTGATACCTGACTCTTCTTTCCCAAGTGCCTGCTGCCTGGCTCTTCACCCGCCACGCATGTGGGGCAGGACCTCTCCATACCGCCTCCCTAGGCCTGGGACTGGGCCAGCAGCTTTACCCCTGAGCAAGGGTGGTGTCTGCACACCGAGTGGGGAAAGGGGCAGGGTGTGCTCCACATTCCCGGGAAGCAGCTGTGGAAAATACTTCTCAGGGAGCCTGTTGGCCAGGCAATTCACTTTATAGATTCTTGAAACGGGTCCCTGACATGGAAGAACTGTGTGAAGGGCCCGTCCCCACCCCTCTGCTGGGAGAGGCTCTGTGACCCTGTGCGATTAGGTCCTGGGACTCAGCTGTGTCAGTCCTCTCTCATGAGCAATGTCTGCTTAAAGTGAACATGGTGTTCTAGAAAGGCCTAGAACTTTCCTCATACCCTCTACAGATTTAGGTCTAAGATTTCTTGCCAAGTCTCTCTAATTTGGACCAGAAGGAGAGGGATCACGTAGGAGAGCAAGGCCCTGATTTCAGTAGTACTTTGAGAAAAGATACCTTGACTCCGGACTGTTCTCCCCATCCTCCCATCTCTCATAAACATTCACCCTGCACCCCAAGCCCCTGGTCATAATTCAGTATGTGGATCCAGAAAGATGAAGTGGTTGGAGGACAGAACAGATGGAATCAGAAGAAAATCCAAGGTCCCTGCTGCTGGTCAGCCTCACCTGGAACACTGTGTTCCCTCATGCTTTCAAGCCCTCCCCTGTGATAGCAGCACAGACCCCTGTGGCCATTGCATTTCTCCGTTAGAGAAGTGTCCTGCTAGGGCGCTACGGCCAAAGACCTTTCATTCCCCCTTGCCGTCCCTTTTATCTGGCTGACCCTCAGCCTGCACCCCTCTTGCTGGCACCCTCCCTACCCCGGAGGTCACTAGCATGTTTGCGGGTCTGCCCAGGGCTGCAGTCTTCCTTGGAAGCCAGCAGCAGTCCTGGACTGGGAACCGTGGCGGGTTGGTCCCCCTTTTACAAAGGTACCCAGGAACTGGTCAGAGCTGTACCCCCATGCTCTCCATCCTTCATACAGCAGGATCGTGCATCTCTGCACCTAGAGAGTGGTGGCAGTCCATCCTGGACACCGTGGAGGGCTACTTGCCATCTAGCAATGGTGGGTCAAGCTCTTGCTGCCCTGAGGTGACAAACTGCTGTCTGTGGGGCTCAGGGAGACAGTGCTCCCACTCCTGCTGGGGGAGTGGGGCTGCAGGGATTCAGACAGTTGGCCCCACCTTCAGAAAAGCAAACCAGCTGCAGTCCTGTCCTTCTATGACTCGACTGGCCACAGGCCCTCACTGTGTCTGATAAGCCAGCGTGGTGCCAACCTCCCTGAAGACAGGGTGGCCGTGGAAGAGAGAAGAGCCGGACTCCATTGTGGTGGTTGAAACTAGGCCGTGCGCAGTTCCGGCACTGACCAGGGCCACCCCTGCCATGCTGGCCAAGAGATCCTGGGGCCAGTCGGGGGTAGATGGAGGTGGCTGGTGAGGCCAAGGCCTCGGATGAATGAGCCACACTCAGGCGGGGGGCCACCAGCCCTCCGTCTGTGCTGGGCTGAGACAGTGTGACCCGCCTGCCATGTCATGTGACTGCTGTCCCATGCTGTCCGTCAGTGTGCCCTTGTTTGTCTGCTGTGCCCCCTGCTGGCTGTGCCCATCCATCTTCTCCACTTCCCACCCTCCATCCCTCCACTCAGCCCTGGCTGCCTCTCTTGCCATCCTCCCCCTTCCCAGGGCCTCGGAAGGGAGGTGCACGGTGGCGGCAATTTGGAATTCAGGAGTGGGGGGCCCTGCTGCAGCAGGGCTTGGTGTCTCAGGTGAGCGGCCTGGCCGCTGTGGGAACCCGCCTTAATGGTGTCTCCCTCTGTTCTTGTTAACAGGAGGTTCAAGATGTGAGAGGCGCAGGTGGGGTCAGACGCCTGAGGAAACCTTACAGTAGGAGCCCGGGTCTGAAAGCAGTGTTAGAAAGAGCCCAAGGCAGCTCCCCTGCACCCAGGCAGGGCCCAGTGCATTTCCAAGGGCTTCGTTTTGCACAGTTTGCCTTACTTTCACCATTTGATTATGTAGCAAAATATATGGTGTTTATTCTTCATTTAGTTTGATTATCCTGTGTCACTGCTGACAGATAGGAATTTAGACTAAGGCCGTTATTTTACTTGCTTTCTTATCAAATCTTTCCCATCGAGCCCCTCGCCTGGCCAGAGGTTCCTGAGCATCATATCTCCCTGAGCTATGTGCAGGCTGGGACCCCAGATCATCCTGTCCTAGGATGAAGAGCCACCAGGAGGCATTAGAGCCAGGGGGCAGGGGCAAACCCTAGTGAAGACTGCCCTGGGCAAGGGGCGGAGGAGGGTTAGGTTTAGAGGGCCAGGCAGGAGCCTTGCCCTTCCCCAGAGTGCCAGCTGGGGTCTTTCCCTTCAGTGAGCATCACAGAGCCCCCCAAGTTGAGGCAGGCAGGAGTATGAGGCCAGGGGTGAGGGAGATGCATCCCTCATCCTGAGCTCTTCTCTACATCCCATCACGTTCTTGTCATCATTCTCTCTCTCATCCATCATCATGCATATCCACGACTGTCTCCATCACCCTGGAAAAAAGAGTCTCTCAAGACCAAAGCTTTAATTTTAACTGGGCAGCCAGAAGCCAATCAAAATGTCTTGTGTGAGTTCAGAAAACACTGTGTACATCTGTGTCTTGTTCAGAATATGGTCTGTTGTCCAATCCTGTGTTCTTGTTCAAAGCCAGTGTCCTCGGTGCGTGCGCTGTCAGCTTCTCGTATGCAAAGGCTCAGAGTCAGGAGATGTCTTTTGACCAGGTTTCTGATCAGGCCTATAGTCCTCTCGTGGGGGACAAGCTAGGTTTCTCCACTGATCACAAACCCAAGATGGATCCACAGAGCCCAAGGGAATTCGGTTTGCAGCAATGTTGACCTGTGAGGACACCAGCCCTTCATGCTTCCACAGGTGTCCATATCAAAACTATGGAGAGTTTTGTCTCCGTTGCACCGAGTATGTGATTGTTTTGGGAATCACAGGAAAAGAATCCTCAATGCTTTTTTGGTTTTTGAAAACCCGATCCACAAAATGATGAGTTCTGGATGTGAAGATTCCTTCTCAATTAAAATCTAACTTCATTTTTTTGGCCTACTTGACGATCCCATCACCTGCTACCTTCTATTCTATGGCCTCCAGACTTGGCCACTGTTGTTATCTTATGCTTCCAGAATGTCCAGCAGGGCATTCCTCTTAAAAAAGGGGGATATTTGGAAAGGTAGATGAATACCCCACATGTAGAGTGTTTTCCTTTACTGAGTGTTTTCCTTTACTGAGACCAGTTTGTAGAGTTGCATTAAACAGTTTAAAAATATCTCTTTTTGAACAGGTAGGCACTTAAGGGGTTTTTTGCTTATTGTGCTTTGTTTTACATTTTATCCCTTTATACTTTGTCCCTTTGGTTAAATATCCCAGGAAGAAATTTTAAATTACAAAAGTGGAAAAAGGGGGCATAAATAGGAAATGTATTAATTAACAGGACACTGTAAATAACATGCAGAAAGTATATTATGGTAAAATAATGGTGAATTGTAGGTGTTCTTAGATGTAATAATCTTTGGGTTATCAGTAACATGCTTAAAGCATTCTTAAATATTCCTTTATAGGATCTTCATGGTAGAAAGCCAATCTGTCAGGCAAACAAAAATTTTTATCTTCAAATCAGCTATATTGAATAAAATAGAATACAGAAATCCTCGTTAGTTTTTAAAGGATACTGAACTGGTTTCAGACCCTCTTTTGAAATTAACCTGTCACTACAGGTCTCCTGAATTATATGTGAAAGGATAGAATTTTCTGTGGCATGGGCATTTCCTGAGCAATCCAAGATATTAAAAACTCTCATGGAAAATGTGGCACCATATTCCCCTGGAACCCATGAACCAGAACCATTAAATCTGTTACTCCAAGAAAATAAACGTGGCCCAAAATCTTGGTCACAGTTAAATAAAGAAGCCTTTGCTTCTCTGCAATAGGGGAAAAAGAGATTAAGAGTAGAAACTGCTGGGAAAGTTATCTGCGTAACAATTGCTCTCCTTGCAATCTGCTCTGAAATAGAGACTGCCCAGCTAAAGCAAATGTGCATTTAAATAGTCTATTTGCAAAGGAAAAGGCTCTCCGTATCCGCTTTTGCTTTAAAAATACAAATCAAGTGCATCCCAGATTAGGGGTCATCCAGCTGTTCCTAGCTGTTCAGTGCTGCTCCACCTGACCTTCCCTTGGGCTCCATGTCACCCCCAGGGCAGTCCTTCTCTGCCAGCCTTTGCATCAGGACCCAGGCAGCTGCGGGCTGGGGTGGGGACCTGGACCCACCAAAGTGCTATGTGTTTATATCCCAATCTGTACCATGTGGTGTTTGTACTGGTCTCTGTCAAGCCCCAGCCAGGTGCTGAGACCCCAGCGAGGAGGCTCAGGAAGGGGACCCTCTGCATGTGGGCCTGTCCTCCAGAGAGAGGAGGTTCAGCTTTGAGCAGAGGACCCGAATAGCCAAAGGTTGCAGTCTCCCCCACCCCTGTGAAGTCCAGAGAACTTCTCAGCTTTTTCATTGGATCCGATTTGACCTTCCTTTTTCTGACTGCGGCCTGCTGTTATGGCCATAGGCTGCTCATCACCTCCCTGTAGGCAGTGCACCCTTCTGCAGCTGGGTGAGAATTGTGGGGGTCCCTGTACACATCCTCCCTGACCCATTCCAAGGGAGCCCCATCCCTAGGAAATGCTTCCATAAAATTTCAAGTCCCTTAAGCAGACCCCTGACATTGCCAAGTTGAAAAAAATCCTCCCAGGCAACTTTGTGAGTCAGTAACCTCGCTGGCTTCTCGGTCTCCGGGCAGTGATGGGTTCAGTGTTAAATGTGATGAATACTGTATTTTGTGTTGTTTAAATACATCTCCCAGATAATGTGAAAAGGGTCCAGGAGAAGGCAGCTTCCTGTACGCAGTGTGCTTTTTTTTTTTTTTTTTTTTTTAACAAGTAACAAGTCCTTTTGAGAAACCACCATTTCTACTCTGAAGTCATATCAATGAAAAGATGTATATGCACTTACAATTTTCCTAATAAAGACATGTATTCAAATGTAGCAGCCAACAGTTTGAAATTAATGTTGCCATTCAGAATATTCCAGACTTGCTTTTTCTTCCTCCAACCCAACACGGAGGGATCAAGTAATCCCAGCGGCCACACTGGTTGGTGGAAAACAGGCCCTTGCAATCATGCTAATCATAAGGAAGAACTCTGGGGGCATGTCTCCTAGTCACCTGATTCCTAGCACGGGGAAAGCTCTCTCTTTTCTCCAAAAGTTGGTTTTGCTGGAATCCTTTCCTAAGGCAAGCCAGTCCTCTGCTCCAGAAGGGATTGGTTTGTGCAAGGGCCCACATATTTGCCTGTCAGCTGTGGGGAAGGAAGCCTCCATTCTCTGCTTCCACGGTCTATCCCTGAAGGCAGTGTCAAGACCCAGCCGCCTGTGTATTTTCTGCCCTGCGCTGGGGCCCTCCAGGAAGCTTACTGAACCTCTCAACAGCTGCCTGCCCACACTGTCCTGGATACTGGGACCAGGGGATGAGTCCGATAGGGTTCTGTCCTCACAGAGGTCAGTCTGGCATACTTTTCTCCTATATCCTTCTGCTCCACGATCAACCACTTTGGAAAGGAGGGGCCAGGACACGAGCCCCAAAGTCAGTGCAGATTGCTCTGTCCTCCAGACCCTCTTGCCCGATGACCCAGACACAACCATGTTAGTCCCATGCTCAGAACCTCCCGGTTATTTGTAGGGTGGCCTCGATGTGGTTGCTCAGTTGCAGATGCTTTGGAGGAAGAGAAGTATTCCAGGAGGCCCTGGCAAGGGACAGCATGGTGTCCTGGGATGAGCACGGTGTGCACCTTAGCAGAGCAGGGCTCCAGTCCTGTTCTCTCTGCTCACTCTGACCCGAGATGCACCACTTACCCTGAGTCCCAGCCTCCACAGCTGGAAGCCAGAAGCTTAGTACCCCCAGTAATTGGGCGAACTAGACTCAGGAAGCATATGTTCTGCTCCTCTCTCCACCTGCTGTTGCCTGGGGTCCACCTGCCTCTCCTCAGGCCTCAGCAACGCTCAGATACCCAGAGCTAGAAATGATATTGAAGGATGAGCTTCACCCTCTAAGAGGGCTTGTCAGAGTGGGTGTTTCACAGACTTTTGATGTGTGAGCAGGTTGTGAGGCATCAACAGGGTCTAGGCCGGCAGCCTCCCCAGACAAGCCACAACCAACCCCCAGCGTTCCTACCTGGGCCTGGAGCTACTCTCAAATTTCAAGGAGGTTGTTCCGCTAAGCTTTCAGGAGTCAGCACTCGTTTTAGAGCAAATGAGTTGCAGCTACCTCTTGACCCATGAAACCAAACAGAAACAAAGCCCTAGCTGAAGCCCCTGACTCTCCCTGTGCCTTCTGTCCTTCCCGGTAAGTGCAGGGGGCCCAGTGGAGCACCTGACTGGGAGAAGCCCTGGGCTCACAGGGAATGTGGCTCTTGGCTGCCCATTGCTGGTGACCCATCCCTAGGAAAATCAACCCAGTCCGCGCACCATTCCCACCACTGTCGGGTCTCTCTGAATTCATGACACTAACTGGAATTGGATCCTCAGTGCTGCCGGGACCCTACCTCATTTTCCTGTCCTGTCTGCCCCTCCTCCTCCCAGGTGCTCACTGCATACTTCCAGCTCTCCCTTTAACTCTTCATCCTCCACCCTCCACACTCAGCTGATGGTCTGGCTTCTAAGTCAGAAGGAAAGACAACAAGAAAGGGAATTAATGAGCTCCACCTCTGTTTCATGCCACCACCGTCACCTGGCAGAAAGCACTCTGCCCCCCTGCTGTCCTACACCCAGCCCTGGAGCCCAGCTTCTCACCTGCCCAAGGACACCTCTCCTGACACCCCGTCTTACCTGCACCATAAATCTTTCACCCTATGTCAACACACCACCAAGCTATAATATTTCCCATCAGAAACAAAATGAAGCAAAAATAAAGCCAAACCTGACATGGTATCTTCCAGCCCTTTGTCCCCTACCAAGTCCGCAGTATTCCTCTGCTTCTCGTCACACGAAAGTCCTCAGAAGAGTGGTCTGTATTTCCCGTGTCTACTTTCTCTCATTCCTTCTCTCTTATCTTTCTTGGAAAACCCATTCCCAACGAGAATTTTGACCCTACCATTCACTCCACTAGAACTACTCTTTGTCAAGATTATCACTGAGCCATCGGGAAATACAATGGTCAGTTATCAATTTTCAGCTTCCTTGGTCTATCAGCAAACCTGGCAGCATTGGTCACCCTCCTTTAAACACACTTTCTGGTCTCCTCCTCATCCTCCAGACATTTAAATACAAGGACACCCCTCGGTCAGTCCTCGGATAGTCCTCAGATGCTCTGTGTTCAAAGCAGGTGACCTCATTCACTCTCCTGGCCTGGCACACCATGCAGAGGCTAAGGAACCCAGGCTGACCTCTCTCCTGGGCTCCAGGCTTGGACACCTGCTCCTTCTCTGAAAGTGATCAATTTGCAAAATGAAACTCCTGTTTGCCACATTTCTCCCAACCTGTTCATCCCCCACCCCCATTTCTATGAATGACAACTCCTTGCCTTCCAGTTGCTCAGGCCAAAACTGTATAGCCATCTTTGATTTATTTCATTCCCTTACAACCCTGAACTAAACCATTAACAAACCCAATTAGTTAACCTTCAAAATACACCCACAATCCAATCACTTCTCACTGCTGCCATCTTGATCCCAGCCCCCCTGCAGTGTCCTCTCGAAGCAGCAAGAGCAGCCTGCCATGCTGCCTGGCCATGCCACCCCTATTCAGACCCTCTAGTTTTTAACCGACAGAGGTCGATGCCCACTGGCGCCTGTCACCTCTCTGACCTCACCCCTCTCTCTGCTCCAGCCACAGTGGCTTCCTCTCCCTGGAACAGGCCAGGACTGCCCCTGGCAGGGGACATTCGTACTGGGTAGCCTCTGCCCAGATACCACATGGCTCACCCCTTCCTTCATTCAGTCTCTGTTCGCCATCACCTTATCAGAAGAGACTTTGCAGACTCCCCAGCTTGCATAGCAGCCCTCCCCCGATGCATGTGCCCCCTTTACTGTGCTGGGCTTCCTTCCCAGCCACAGAACCTTCCGCCATGGTTGCCTGTGAACTGCCTGCTTCTCCCCATGAGAAGGTTAATACCACCTGGGAAGAGAGGGGCTTCATCTGCTTTGCTCACTTTGTGGCTGGCACAGAGAAGATGCTAAAGAAATATTTTTGGAATGACTGCCAAATAAATCAACAGGTTGTTAACACATGGGAGCACCTCTGAAATGAAAATAGCAGTACCCACCTTACAAGGCTGCGTCTTCGTTTCCACACTCAAGGGCACATTGTGAAGTCATTATTTGGAACCAAATCCACCTCCACTCTGCACCTATCAGTGGTCACACACACACACACACACACACACACACACACACACACACACACACACTGCCTCTTATCTAGAATCCCCTGTGCCTGACCCTGCCCCCTAGAGTCTTCAGAGCATGAAAAACCAATCTGTGTCCCAGACTGAAGAATCATCCCTGTCCCCAGGGGCACCTCCTTCTGAGTGTTCCTCACTCCTGTGGGGACCTGCACACATCTCCTATGCAGACTATAGGGGTGTCAGTGACTCTCCTGCTGTTTCATCCCAGGCCTGACCTGGGGCAATGGATGGCTGGTTAGTCCTCAGGGGAGGAGGTCAGGGAAGGAGCCGAGACCTCAGGGAAGGCTGATGGCAGCAGGGGCAATGTTCCATTCTCCTGGGCAGCAGCCCGGCTCTGCAACACAGCGGGGGAAGTTGCTCGGGAGGAGTGACTGGTCTTGGTCAGTTGGAAGGTGCTTAGATGCAGCCACAGGCTCACCTTGTCCTGCCTGTTCTAGGCATTTCCCTGAACATCAGCCCAGGTCACATGGGCTTGGAGGCCGTGAGGAAACAATCATTTGGGGCATTCCTGAGCTCCGGGGGAGGCGAGCCTCCTTCCGGCCACTCTGGGAACCCTCAAGAGCCATATCCCAACCTTGATACCTGGGAATGATGCCTGCCAGGGACCAGCTCTTTCCAGTTCTCTGTGGGAACTGGAGGCTAATACATTCACTGTACTTCTCCTTATGTAGGCAGGACAGAGTTCCCAGTGGGGACAAACAAACACCTAGATCAGGTGCTTTCCATCCCGATGGCATTTCCGGAGCAGCCCCTGCCTGTCAGCCCACAGAGCTGTTTTTCAGATACTTTCTTCTTTGGGGTTCCCTACCATCCCACAAGATTACAGCCCTGTCCCATGTGACAGACACAGAGACAAAGTCCTAAGTGACCACGGAGTCTCCACATCTCAAAGCTGGGATCTGGGGGCCCAGACTGATGCTAGGCTATTTGGCTCCGGTACACCTGGCAAGCCCTTCCTGCAGTTTGCAGAGCTCCCCAGGCAGAAATGGTGGGCAGGGGCTGCTGGGCTCAGGCGGGGTCTGGCCTGTAAGGTCCACGGGTATGTCTGGGGCTTACGTGACAGTCCATCTAGAGGAGGTGCTCAGTGGGCTCAGGCTATGAAATCACTGGAGACTGTCAGAAGCAGGCATTAAAAAAAAAAAAAAAGTGAAATAGCACCAAAAAAGAATAGTATAGAAAACATTGGCATATGTCATACCTACTAGAAAAGTTAGCACACACATGTGTGTGTGTTTTACAATGTCAAATCCAATTTTTATTGTAGACTATCCTCATAAAATGTACCACCCCTGTGCACATAAAATCCAACGATGAATGCAGCTTGCCTCCCTGAGTAAAAGGAAAGAAGTTACAAGAAGACACCAGATTTCTTTGACTTAATGAATTTTTTTTTTAAAAAAAAAACACAAATGTTGCATACATTAAACAGGACACATATGATGGCATTTTTTTTCCTTTCCTAAACAGCTGTAGGCTTTACAAGTAAATGATGATATTTCAGAACCAAAGTAGCATGGCTGTAATCGCTACCCTGAATTGAGCTCTGTGCTTCTATATTGACAGTGAAGGCTGTCCTTCACCGGGTGCC